TCGCATCCGTAGACGTCTATTTTGCAAAGCAAGACGCTCAGTATTATTTGAATGGATTAAGGGAGCATCGCTGGAAAAAATGTATCGGCTTAAAAGGAAACTATGTGGAAAAATAAAATTGAATTTGACCGAAAAATTACTTGTTTCTATGTTAGGCTCAAAACTTTTCAGACGACCCTCGTAGCTAATTCGAATCGTTCGGCGAACACAAGGTTCACGCGCTGATCACGTGAATTTCATGATCGGAGCTCGATACTCGCGGCTGGCAGCGGCGTGGCCTATACCTATTGGTATCTACTAATAGACTCTAATTTTATTCCGTTTTTTGAAGATACGTGTAAACGTAAAACGTTTATCCGTTTATATTCGCTTTCAAAAAAACGTTTACACGTTTAATTAGCATATCCATTTATAAAAGAAACATTTTTCCGAATATACGTGTTTTATTATACATTTAAACGAAAATACATTTACATGTATATTTAACATATCCATCTATGAAAAACATCGAATATTTTAATGATTTTTAATAAAATTAAAAATCGAATTTTTTGCATTTTCTCAATTCGTCACATTCCTTAATAAAGGGATAAACGTTTATAATTTATATAAAAAAAAGTGAAAATATTCGAAAAAACGATTCTAATAAACGGATATGCTAATTATACGTGTAAACGTGTTTTCGTTTAAACGTATAATAGTTAATTACACGTATATTCGGAAAAACGTTTCTAATAAACGGATATACTAATTATACGTGTAAACATATTTTCGATTAAACGTATAATAGCGAGCCCTAGTATCTACCCACACAGCACAGAATTTGCAGTAATATCGCTGCGAAATCTTTGCAATATTGCTGAAACATGTAATGTTACTGCAACTTTTATGCAACTTTGTGCTGTAGGGGTATAGTATGCGAGTGTGCTTTATTAAAGTGACGGACGGCGTGTCAGCTGAGATTTTGACAGCCGGACGTTATACAATATTGAGCAAAATTAAGTGAAATTTTTTAATTGTCTTGTTTAAGTGCGTTTTATTTGATTGTCAGATAATTTTCACTTGTGACGTTATAACTCAGTTGAATGCGCGTTCCTTTTACATTCTGACAAGTGAGATTCAACTGAGTTTTACCTTTAATCTGCACAAGATCGAGATCATGTGCTTTAATGAATCTCGGAAACTCATTTCAAAGTAAGGTTATGAACCTGTGCTGATATGTGATAACTTTTTACCAAAGTAAGCAAGTAGTGACGTCATTAATCTGTGTATAAAATACTCATCTCACTTCAGACTCACAGTTTCACTTGTGTGTAAATGAAAAGCAACTAAATCACTTTGAGGATACCGCGATTTTTTAACTATCAACATATAGTCTGTAACACCTTTAACTTTACATCCTACATAAACATGATAGTTTCTAAAGACTTCATCACTCTTTATCGCACAATATAATCGAGAAGAAAAAAAAGAACACGAGACTACATGGACTAGAATTGCGATACCTGTCCTTGGTTTATATTCAAATTTTATCCTTTTAATTGTAATCTCTTCTTTTTACATTATAAAGAGACTTTCATAATTACGCAAATTAAATTACAATTCTCGTCCCAATTTATCTAGAAAGACGTTAGCTTTTAAAAAGAGAAAAGAAAAAAACAATAGCCGGACTTTCAATTGTTCCAGCTGGTGGACGACGACGGCAACATCGACAAGGCTCTGATGAATTACTTATTCACCAAACAGATCGTGAAACGTCTCCGTAATCAGATAAACGTCAACGACTTGCAGCGCAAACGGAACTTCTGGAGGCAGTGCTCCCTCAACGCGGTGGCTTGCTTCGGTAAATAGGCGCGCAGCAAGACGGAGAAAAAGCCAAGCGAGGGAGAGAGAGAGGGGCGTAAAGAGAGAAGATCGTTCGTGATGTCATCGTCGGAAAGTTCAGGAACCCTCCCGTGACACGATAAAGTGCATTCGGAAGTCTACTCATTGATTAAAGTAAAGTTAAGCTTAAATATGGCTGACATTCATGGTTGGTATTTATTTCCAGATATGTAACTGTTATGTTATGTTACATTCATATTATTGAATGAGAAATTATAATGAAGACAACGCGTCTTAAATAATGTCTCCCGCGGAACACGAATTAGCAGTAACATTACATTAATATTACAATTTCTCACTGAACAATATAAATGTAATATAACATATGTTACATTATAAATGTAACAATAGTTACATTATAGGGTAGGAAACTGTAACATTTAGACGAAGTTAAGATGCTAGTATGGCTTGAAATAAGAATCTAATATGAATAGCGATTAGTTTATAACGTCTTAAGATTGTATTTAAGACACTCTTAACCCTTTAGTGCCATTCCTAGTGTGACATACCTGAGGATTCTTTTACTTTGCCATCCTAAGCAGAGCAACAATGATATCAAAATGACTCCAAAATGATCTTTTATTATTCATTGAAAGTCATTTTTCAATCATTTCCGATTCATTTTAATGTGATTTTGATGTATCGTGATTTGTTCTGCTTGGAATGATATATAACTTTTTTTTTATTAATAAAGATATCCATACTAAATGAAAATGTGCAGCTATATTGCTGCAATATTCCTTACAACTTATGTTAGTGTTAAGTTCTTTGTATTAATTTTTTACGTAATATTTATGTTATTTTCTAACATATTCATCTTGTGTGAAATTAACACAAAAATTCAAGTGGACTGTTTAGACATGCATTAAATTTAACACAAATTTTTAACTGTGTTTTTGACGGTCCAACAAAATTATTTTCAGATCTGTGTATAAAACTAAATTTTTAGATATTTTAACAAAACCATTTTTTCATATCTTATCATGTCTGACATTTCAATTAAAAAAAAATTGTTATACTATATCGATTTTTATGCGATATTTATTTTTCTATGGTAGATACATGATAAAACAAAGTAAAGTGGCACCAAAAGGTTAAATATAACGATCGACTACGAATAACACTCAACCTTACTTTATTCGACGAGTATATTTCCGAACGCACTCCTGAGGAATCCGCGCGGAAGGAATCAGTTCGCGATGATGAACGAAAAACGCCACGCGATTCGATATTAATGATATTATAAATTATTTATAAACAATAACGATAATTACGATTTACCGCCGTTAAATTGTACATAACTTGACGCGCGTATTCCTGGTCCGTTTTACGCGACGTAATTCGTTTAATGAAATAATTCGACATATGAAATAAGCTCCAACTGCGAAGTATTTAGCACCAGTAATCTGTTTAATTGGAGATATCGAAAAATGTGTTTGGTAATGAGAAAGATTCGGGCTCCGACAATGCAATAAAAGGTTGAATGAGTTTTAATAATCACATACTCTGCGCAGTCCAGCATAATTCGCGCGCGAATGAATTCGCCGGAAATCGACTCTCCCTCGAGCTTTCCATGTACCTGACGTAACGTTTGAGAGAATTACAAAAACGCACCAACCGGAAATGAGTGGCACGAATAAAACGCACGACTGTATGTAGGAATGTATGAAAAAAGTATCATCATCGGTGCGCAACTGATCTCTCTGTTAAAACGAGACGTAGTAAATAAATATTGTGGAAACGAATTGGCCGAAAATAAACATTGCGAATAAAATGCGATATGATAGTAGTTGCGCAAATGGTCTCTGTTAAAAAAAATGACGCAAGTTCCGAGATCCAGTCGTTCTAATCTCAACCTCTAAAAGTGAATTAGTGACTTCAGTGCTATTTATAACTAATGACATCAGCGAATATTTACCGTTTTTCAGTAATAATACTGATTCACTTTTAGAGAGCGATCCGGCAATTGCATTAAGTACAGATTTCTATAGAAATACCTAGAGCGTTAAAATGCTATAGTTTACGGATCAAGCCGAGATACCACTTGTACCCAGTCATCAATGTACAGACTCGAATAATGCTTTGAATGAGTGTTGGTGTTAATTTGTAAACATTATCTGAAATATAATTATATTTTTTATAATTGTAAGTGAACAAAAAATATTTTTCTTTTTTGTTTTAGTATTACTTATTTATTTTTCCTACTCTTTATTTTAATGTTATTTATTTTAGAATTATTTTAGTATTATATTCTTCTTGCTTTCTTATTTTAAGTATTTTTGCATAAATGCGTGGAAAGATGCCTTATAAGTATGCAGTTGTTCAATGCGAGAATAAAATTTACAATCACAACAAACATCAACTAACGGTAACATAATTATTGATTATAATTTCCCACTCAACAATGTAACTGTTATATGTTATACGATTGTAATGTTATATTACAGTTGAGTGAGAAATTATAACTAACAGTTATGTTATTGTTAATTGGGGTTTGCTGAGATATATATATATATATATAATTATAGTATATATATTTATTTCGTAATGCTAGTTTGATCGAGTAAAGATGAGCATCATCCCATCAAATTGGCAGAGAAATCTACTTTACGGAGGTATAAATGATCTAGATATTTCAATGAAAATCTGAACGGCCATTCTTTCGCGGAGTGTGATTTCCCAAATCTTCTGGCAGGAGCAAGACGAAGAAAGACAAAATCCTTCCTCTCATCCCCTCATAAGTTGTTCGATCTTAGAGTTCTGAGAAGATTTAACTATGAAAGTTACTTCCGTCGTCTGTTCTTTCCGGATCCCCCCTGTATCACAAAGCGTGAGAGAGAGAGAGAGAGAAAAAACACAGAAAAATAAATTTATTTGCGTTATTTGAAATCCTCCAAAATTTTTGCACAAAAAAACGAGATAAATATAGGTATATTCAGGCGTTAAAGAGAAAAAGCAAAGATTCTAAGTGAAAAAACTGCAAGCAACGAGAACGGACCTAACAATATGAATGGGTGAATCACGAATGATAAAATTACAACGACAAGTGATGGCGGTGAGAGCGGTGGGATTGTGTAATCGCAGGATACATATCAGAAGATGCCACGCGGACGACCATGTGCCAAATTTAATTCTTCTTTCATGTTGTAAATCTACCGGGCACCAATCAACGCTGTTCGCCACATCACGCGAATATATATTATATATACATATATATAATTTAATTAATGCGTATTTAATCTCATTTGTCTGTTGCCAATGTGTCTCACCTGTATACGTCACAGTGTTCTATAAATGATTAAACTGTTATAATTGACTCCTCGATCGCATAAAGTATTTTTCACCCTTACCCGCCGATTAATTCCGCGATTGTCAGAAACACGAAAACGTAAGGTAGATGTATCAATTAGGACACTTAATGGATATGACTCCATTATTATTATTAGACGAAATAACAAAAAATTTTAAATATTAAGTTTTTAATGATACGACTCTAAATCAATTTGTTATTTATAAAAATTTAATAAGAAAAATATCAAGCGTTTGAAGATACATACAAATAAATTGTTATAATTTATTCGTAAAAATTTATTTAGAATCATATACAGGGTGGTCTATGTAAAGTGTTACAAGCTATTATCTCTGAAAGTGTGTGTCAAATGACTAATATGTTCAGACAAAAGTTTTATGACTTTGAGGAGAGCATAAGGTACCATTTGTTTGATCTTGGGTGGCGTTGTCAAGGTCAGGGCAAGGTCACTTTGAATTTTTTGAATGGAACCCCCCATTTTTTATTAGACATTCTTGTAGCTAATCTCGAGAGGTTAGCTACAACTTTCCAAAACACTATAATCAAGTTCATTTTCATTAAGTATTTTTCGAGTTAAGGCTTAAAAGTTACAGTACCGCCGGCATTACCCAAGGTGTCCGACGGCTAAAACCTCTTGAATGTTGTTCAGGATCACGACCTGGATAACATTTGTCAAGACCAAGGTCATTAGAGGTTGTTTCTCTCACATAAAAATGAATTTTTAGTGCAAAAATGAAAATAAGAGGAATCTCCAATGGCCTTGATCTTGACAAATGTTATACAGGACATGACCCTGAACAACATTCAAGAGGTTTTAATCGTCGGTCGGACAACTTACGTAATGCTAATGCCGACTGTATTGTAACTTTC